TGTGTGTATTTGCAGTGCGAAATTACTGATTTCTGAATAATAAATCTAATCTTAACAAATATAAGGAAATATACGGCCAAGCTCTTGGCAAAATGTGCGCTAATAATTGTTTTTCTCTTTAATTTTTAATTCAAATACAAAATTTTCATGACCAAGAAGTGAAAAAAAATAAAAAAAAATAACTACAATTTTCACCTTTCGGGTGAGTTTACGTAAGACGAAAAATGTCAATATGCCAAAGCAGTTATATGAGTCAAATTTTACTCCAAATTCGCCAACATTTACCTTGTGTGAACATGTGAGATCTTGAAACATTAATGAGTCTATGTGCGTACATATGTACATATGTTTGGGTATGTTGACGTGCAATTGAACTGTTTTCATTAACCTTTTTATGTGGCCATGTTTTGCGCTTATGTGACCATTTGAAGCGCTTTATCTGGGTCAAGTTCAGTTACAAAAAAAAAAAAAAAAATGAAATTTGGTGTACTCGTAATAGGAAACTGGAGTGGCATAAAATGGGTATAAGCTTTGCGATTTTCGTACAAACATATATTTATGTACGAATGTATGTATGTATGTACACATAAATTTAGATACAAAAATAAATTGTATGTACATTAGTCTGCACTAGAGGGCTGCATGAATGCATTCAAAACGCCATATGAATTATTCATATACAAAACGAGTGAATGATTTTGGCTTCACATTTTTTTGAATTTGAGTGAATAGCTGTTCCGATATTTGTGTCGACATTACAATATTCAAACAAAATGAAAATACATTGAATTGAAATTAATGACAATTTTTTGTATGAATATCCAAAAATATTTTTTCTATGCACATATGTACAAACATATGTATGTATTTATTGCTGCGCTCCTATTACATACGAAAAAACTTGTTTGTAGAAAAAAACTTTTACCGAAATGAGTTTGAATGATTTGAATGTTTTCCATTCACTCATTCACATTTTTCCATAGGGCTGTGCGATTAATTGATTATTAAAAACTTTAGGTAATCATAAAGTAAATAACTCAAATATTCGATTAATTGGAAATTATGATTGCTCAAAAGTTCAATTACTCGAGTAACCAAGATTTTGATTAACCAAAAACAAAAATATATGAGTAATTTGCTTTATGATTAATCAACATTATGAGTAAAATGAGTAGTCAACATTTCAAAGTACTGTTTACATATAAAGCAGTTGAAGTTCCTTGATACTTTGAAAACAACGTTTCTATTTTCAAAAAATAACTTTTTCATGTACAGAATGTAAGAAAGAAAATAAGCATTTTCCAAAGCAAACTCATTTAACGAGCAAAATAATTTTTTTAAGTAATCATATATCAAGTAACTCGATTAATCATCGTTTTGAGTAATCAAAATCTTGATTAATCGAGTAATTGATTAACCGGAAAACTGATTAACCACATTGGTCGAGTAATCGAATAATCGCACAGCCCTAATTTGAAGGTAGAAAATTTAAAACAAAATGTATATTCATAACTCACAAAATTCCAAACGCTGAGTGTTTTACATGTGAAGTAAAATATTCAAATCCATTGTACTCTGTTTGGCTAGAAGTTTGAATGAATTCATGCAGTCCTCTAGTCTGCACCACCAAAACATTTCGGAAAAATACTAAGATTTACGTGAACTGGGCCGATTTGAAAATACCTCCAAAATTGGATTTTTTTTTATGAATAAAAATGGTTTCTTAAAGTAATTTTTGAGAAAACTTACCTCGGATTACAACAAAGTTTAAGCTGAAAAAAATCTGCATAGAAATATAAAATTTTTCTTTCAACGGAATCATAATAATAAGATTTTTGATGCTGTTTTTTTATCATTTTTCAAAGATAGGTTTAAGAAAAACTTAAATAACTTAGCCAAAACTACACCGGCTTAGACTTATGAGGCATCGTTGGAAAAGTATTTCCTCGTCCTATTTATTTCTTTGCAAATAAACTCATTCAAAGTATGAAAGAGAAAGGTAAGATAAACGAGCGTCATTAAGATGTGTTGTTGCTTGCAAAAAAAAAAAATCAAACGTGAATGAATGTATTTGCAAAGAAATAAAAAGGGTGAGAAAATAACTTTCCAATGGTAGGTCATAGGTCTAAATGGGTAAAGTTTTGGCTAAGTTATTCAAGTTTTCTTATGCTGGATTTCCACTAGGCATTTAATGGCAAAAATGACAAATTACAAAATTAAGCATTAAAAATAATCGTGTCATTTCAATGCCTAGTGGACTTTGGGCATTAAACCATTCTTTGAAAAAAGTTCAAAAACAACATCAAACATCTCATAATTATGATTCCGTTGATTTTTTTTTTTAAATACTATTTTTATGCGAATTTTTTAATCTTACATTTTTTTTTTCAAAAAATACTTTTAAAAAACTATTTTTATTCATGAAAAAAAAACCCCATTTTTGCAGGTATTTTCAAATCGGTCTCGCTCACGTAAATCTTAATATTTTCCGAAATATTTTGGCGGAAGTATTAAAATACAATAGCTTTTATAATTCCAAAGGTAAGACTGTAATGATTTTTGCTTGTATGAGCAGTGATGCAGGCTAATGTACATAAATAGTAGGTATGTGCATAAATTACTGAATTATGCTCAGACATAATGGAAAAGCGTTTTCGATTAAAACTAAAACAATGAGGGAAACTATAAGTAAATAAAACAAATATTTAAACAAAACAAAATCAAGATAAACTAAACTAAAATTAATAAATTAAAATACACGTTTTTTATATATATAAATATATATTTTTTTCATATTTTACTCACAATATGTACTTATGTATCTGCAATGTGCATAGATGGACTGAAACAACAATAACTACAATAGCGAAACAATCTTTTTTGCTTTTGTGCAAAACAGTCGTTAAATTACCAGATTATTACAAAATATCATTTAAAACATTTGCAGCGGTGGACTATTGGCTTGTTGGTCAGTAGACCGCGCATACATACATACACATCTACATAGTACATAAAGGCTACTAGTATTAAAAACAGCACACACAATCTATAAAATGCACATTTATTTTTTATGTTGCATTTACTTCTTTAAGTTATTAATATTTTTTTGTAGTTTGTATAAAAATTTTAGAAAATCCCACAGAGTATTTTGTTGTGCAGTAGACCATGGTTGTCCAAGGCGATTGCAATGAATTTGATGAGTCAGCACATTTCTACATCATGCATATTTATTTGTACATGTATATGTTTGTATGTGCGAGTGTGTTTTGCAGACGTGCTTAGAGAACTTTAAGGTCGACCACAGCGCAGAATGACGCAAAGGTGAATGTCCGAATTTGGCATGACTGTTTTCAAAATTTGACCCTTGAATTAAGATTAGGGGAAGTCATCTGAAACAAACATCTAATTCGGGAGTGAATGGACTTAGCTGCAAACGTTTCAACACTTTTAAAATGAGCGGCACGACGATGCACTTGCAACTAACTTTTTAAGTGGCCTGGTAAAGGTCATAGAATACCTATGGGTCATTCTTGAAGCTGTATTGCAAATATTCAAAAGATGGCGCGCGTGCAGTAAATTGGTGCGTGAGAGCCTACTTACTTGGTTTATTGGCTCAGCTACCGGTTTCGATCTGTGTAACTATGACTGGAATCTTCCCGACGACAGCAGATGGGGCACTCAGATTATTTTCTCTCTATCGTCCATATAACGGATGCGTGATAGTTTTTTTTTTTTTGGGAGAAACTATCGAAGAGCATCAACGAAAAAAATCTCAAATTGAAAATTTTGGTGAAAAATTTGTCGAATTTTCCTAAATTTTGTAAAAAACTTTGAATCATTAATTAATATGAAATTTAATGCAGAATGAACTATATTTCTATTAAAAATTAAAGAAAAAAATGTATTACGAAAAACATTGCAAATATTTTTAAAAACAAAAACGCTGTACGCAAACATATACATATAAAATTGATTTGGGGTGTGGGAAGTTAATATTATATGATGGTTTAAAATTATTTAGGCAAAAATAGCAGCATTAATAAAAATATAAATTTACCGACCCCTGCGAAAAATGGTTTTATCCACTTTGATATGAAACATCATGTTTATATTTTAATATTCACATGAAATAAATGATACTAACAGAAAATATTGTAAAGGTTGCTCTGGCACAACATGGAGGCTTCGTAGCAAATAAAAAATTTGGAGATTCATCGTTTCGCTTTTGTATTTTTATATTTTCATTTGTCAATCAGCTGTTGCGAATGGATTATTTGGTAGCTGTCAACAAAATACAATTACTCCCAAAAAGGTTCAAAGGGGGTAGTAAATTTTTGTGAGGGCTTTCTAAAAGACTCGAAAAGATATTTTTATAAAAATAAAATGAGCGTACTCCGCGTACTTTTTTTATCATCTACGGAATAAATATTTCTACTTTTTTCAATAACTACAATTTTAAAACTGTTACGCGCAAACTAATGGAAAAAAATAAAAACTTACTTGTAAAAAGTCATTCCTAAATATGAAAATAATTTTAAAAAGTTACATCCACACATACTATAATTATCCATTAGAATTGCATGAGAACCGCAGCTCGTAAAAATTTGTAGCCAAGAAATCTGAAAATAAGAATCTTAAAGCTTCACAATCTTTTCTTTTTTAAGTCTCAATACGACTATTTTTTTACCGAAATACGGTCTGTAAACATGTAAACGAAATACGTTCTGAAAACATGTAATGTGTAAACATCATCTTCTTTAAATTCATCTGAAGACCAACAATTGTTTTTTTTATGCAAAAGTTGTGACCATGCATATCTACGAGGGCACTTAAAAAATTTGTAAAATTTTTATTCTAATCATTTTATAAAATCATACTATCGTAATAAAAGCAAAGTTAGTTTTTATGACCTTCTGTGTTGAGTGAATGTTGCAAAAAAAAAAAAAAAAACAATAAAGTTGTTATAATAACCCCTTTCCCTCTAATTTTTCTTTTTGCAGTACCATCCGAAGTCAACAACGACAATGCCAACTTCGAGCTCGCGCCTTGCAACTTGAAAGATGCCAACAAAAATGAATGCATTCGCAATCTCTTCACACAAATTGTACCTCAGCTGAAGGTAAGTATACACACACACATACATATATACACACATACGTACATACTTCTTTGGAAAGCCGCTGTCACTTTTTTCAACATTATTGCTTACTTTTCATCGACTCTCTTTTTAGGCTGGCCTACCTCAGTATGGCATGCCATCCATCGATCCGTATTTCTATCGACGCGGCATTTTCCGCTATGACAACGAAGGCGTGCAAGGCGGTCTGCTCATCAAGAATATGTACATTAATGGCATTAGCGAATTCAAGGTCAACACATTCTTGTCGAATTTCACCGAGAAGGCGTTCATTGTTAAGTTGAGCATTGAAATACCGAGAATCAAAGCGAATGGCCAATTCAAGGCGGATGTAAAATTCGGCGGCTTGCGGTTGGTGCCCAAGGGACCCTTCAACATCACCATCGGTTTGTTGCGCATTCAAGTGTTGATTGCGTTAAATGATTAACTATTTACTATCTCTTTTAATAATTATGGCAGATAACATACGCGCCACTATTTTAACTGATGGTTCGATAGAGACGACGGATGCNCAATAATTATGCAGACAACATACGCGCCACTATTTTAACTGATGGTTCGATAGAGACGACGGATGCGGGGCGCCGTTTGAAGCTGCAACGTTTGAATGCCAATGTGGCGGTGGGCGATGCGCGTATCATAGCCAATGGCATATTTAGCGATCGTAATTTGAGTTAGTGAATACCAGAAATCTTTTATTCAGAAGAAGATGTATTTTGTTAACGTTTGCTTTTCTTCTCTTTCAGATGCAATGATTTTGAATTTGGTTAATGAGAATCTGCCCGAAATCACACGCGTCGGCATACCGGCCACACGCGAGCAATGGGCGCCAATTTTTATAACGCATATCAATCAATTCTTTGCGAACATTCCTATTGATAAAGTTTTAATAGAGTAAAACATTTTCCGAATTGAATTTTCACTTCAATTGGAATCTGTGGAAAATTTAGGTTAGCCTAGTTTGAGAGAAAATTTTTAAAGAAATATTGTAGGTTTTTATTTAAGGCGCTCACTCCCAAAATCGACGCATGTATTTATTTAATTAGTATTACAACATGGCATGCACTATCGTACCTTTGTATTTTTAGTATATTTAAGCATTCGATTTAGTTCGATAATTGTAAATTCATTAATATTTAATTTAAATAAAAGTATAAAAACAGAGTTTAATCTTTCGAGCCTTGTACTTTTGAACGTGTTGAGAGGAAATCAACTCATTATAACGTCTTCTTTATGATGCTTTTACGATTTATATTTTGAGTCAGTCTTTTGGCTCGTGATTGCAGAATAGGAGAGAGCGTTAGAGGGGTCTTGGCATTTGCCCTTTTTACTTAGCTACATATTGACGAGTTGTGCTGGGTCTGTATGGTCTGTTTTACTCAAATTGGCCGATTAGCGCAGTCGCAATCGCCCGGATCACCACTTACGAATGGCTGTAAGATCTGGACACTACCAGGCAGAGCAAACTCCTCCAATGATGTTAATTCCATCGAGCTGCCCCTGATTTGGGATACCAGCGAATATCTAAATTCGTTGGGAAAATAATGACGAATAGTACTCAGATGTTTATATTTGTATGGCCTTATTCATGATACAAAAAGAAGGTAGTTTCATTTAAAAATTTTGATGTTGGGGGTAGGGTGAACCTAGCATTTTCGCAAAAAAAAATTAAACTCGTGTTAGGCCAGCAGCAGTATTTTTGCGCAAAACTCCTTTCAGCGTTGGTGGCCTTCGGCCGCGCTAGAAAATATAGCCTCGTCAGTCCAGTGGTTAAGCCATCGACAGTATTTTAGCGAAAAATCCACCTCTAAATTTTTACTTTTTCAAGAAACAAAAATTTTCCTGCTAGTGAATCTGGTAGCATGATTTCAGTTAAATGTCGTAAACTTGTTAAAAGCCAAATAGGCGGCAACAACAACGAATGTCATTAAATGAAACTACCTTCTATTCAATTGTATCATGGGCCTTATTCATAACAAATAAAGTTGGTTTAAAAAGCTTTATAAATTGACGATTTCATAAAATTTTCAATTTATAAATCTTTTGTAGAGCTACCTTATTTTTTAGAATTTTTTTAATAAAAAATATAGTTAGCAAGGTGTATTTTTTTGAATTTTTTCAACATTTTCCTATCCATTCAAAACTATGCTTATTTCAAAGAACCATGCTTCTGCTATAATAGCGGTATTTATTTTACATAAGCTACGAATATCTTGATTCTTTTTGAGACATACATATGTATGTATATGTATGCAATTTAGACATATGTAGTTATCGTTAAAATTTAGGGGATGTGTAAATTGAAAAAACCCGCGATCTTCGAAACCGTTTGCCGACCTCTTAAACAAAGTCGATTTTAGATTAAGCGTTCGTTTCTAAAACATATTAAAACCAGGTTTTAGAAGCCACATGGTCCAAGCAAAGGTCACAAACAATGTGGGTAATATGGAGTAACATAAAAATTCTTGTGGTTTTAGGGCACCTTCGGAATACGCTGCCGACCCCCAAAAATGCTGTTATTATAAAATTCTTGGTGGCATGAAGTTTCTTCCTGAGAAGACCCCTAGTAAAATATTCCGAACAATAATTTTCTAGAATATATCAATCCCCGAACGAACTTCCAAATTTGCTTTTTGTGGGGTTTTTTGAAGTAAACGTAAAAACAACCTTCTCAGGCGGGAGCTATTGGGTTAAAATGTTCTACGAAAAAATATCTCCCATGAAATTTTACCATATACATATGTCTTAAACTTTAATTTCGCTCAGACATTTATTTTCAGACTTTTTTGAAAACTACCTAGGCCGTGAAGGCCATAAAATAAAAATACGAGCTAAATTTTGCAAAACCATCGAGTGTTTTATTACTGTTTTATCATCCGCTTCGCTGAGTGTATGAAATTTGAGTAAAATTTATTTCAAGAAAACTAAATTAAAAAACAGGTGGTTTAAGATTTGTTTAACCATCTTAAAAATATTTTCAAACTAAAACTTTCTTTGTCATACTTTTTCAATTAACATATGCCCTGAACTGAATTTGAGATTTTAAACAGATGGAAACCTCTTACATGTAGTATTGAAATGAAGCCCTTGAAAACCCATTTCGATTGATACCCATATTATAATAAATCATTTAAAATATTGAATAGTTTGAATTTAACCTTTTAAAAAGATGGCAACCTATGTGATACATATTGTAACACATATTCAAAACCATTTAGATTCATACCAATCTTGAATACTAATATATATTTTGAAAGCCGTTTTTTATGTGTTCGCAAAGCTCGAAAACGGCCGAACCGATTTTTTTTAAATTTCAGACACCTGCCCCAGATGTCCCTAGGATGGTTATAGGCTAAACAAAATTTCGATGTATAAAAGGAGCGTGGCACTCTCATACAAACCGATTTTTTCATATTGCATATCTCTGGAAGTGTTCATGGTAAAATACTGGAACTTGGTCCGGCGATGTATGAAATCAATCTTATACTAATGGAGAAAAATGGGCTATTTGGAAAGAGGGCGTGGCACCGTACGAACACATACATATAATTCTTTTGTATGTGTGTTTGTGAGTGAAATCCCCCTAAATGCCCAGAACGATTTTAACAAAGATTTTTGTGTGCTTTTGAAGGGCTCTCTGGATAGTGTAGTTTCACAATTTCACTTGCCAGTTGGCGCTGGAGTTAAGTTGTTACTAAAAATCTTATTTATAATCAACTTTGGCTAATATTCAAAATATGTATTGTTAACGGTAAAAGCAATACTACTGCCAGAATGGGCTGCCAGGTGGCACTGGAGTTATTACGAATAATCGCTAAGTTAGAAAAAGTGCCGCGAATATCAGACTAAATCGATCTGCTGCACCACTGAGAATATCGAACTCTTGTGTGTTATGATTGGCCCAATGGATGTATTATTATGCGTTGAAGCTTTATTCGGAGGCACCAGGTTTGAGTTGTGCAGGGGTAAATCTCAAATCACCACCGATAAATCAATCGCCAGGGCCATTGCGCGTCTTTTACTGTAAAACTTAATTTAAAATAATTGAATTTAATATTTAAAAAAGGTGGCAACCCTTGTGAAAGACTTAAAGATTATTCAAAACTTGCAAACTAAAGGTTTCTTAACAATATTTCGTTAGGCAACCATATTTTAATTCTTCAGATAGCTTGCGTATGATTAATATAAACTGGACTTTTCAAACAGGTGGCAACGCTTTTCAAAATTTATTAGAACTACAGCTTTTTTAAGCCTCTTGACATCCATTTTTATACGCGAGCGCACTTGTACACAAGGGTATTATAACTTTGTTCACATAACGGTTGTTTGTAACAGGCAAAACGAATCGAGATAGATATAGACAAATGTATACATACATAAATTATCAGAATGAAAAGAGAAATCGATTAAGCGGTGACTGTCTGTCCGTCCGTCCGTCTGTCCGTCCGTCTGTGCACACGATAACTCGAGTAAAAATTCAGATATCTTAACGAAACTTGGTACGTGCACTTCTTTCGGGCGTAGGACGGATGGTATTGAAAATGGGCAAAATCGGACAATAACCACGCCTACCTCCCATGTAACGGTAATTTTCAGAAATACGAAAACTGCGATATTTTAGTAACCACTGAAGATTATTCACTCAAAATTCATATTTACAATAATTTTTAGACGAAAGATAATAATATTATAAATTTTTTGAAAATGGGCGTAGCCACGCCCACTTATGGATACATGTGTATATCTTGGTAACCGCTACACCAATTTCTTCCAAAGTTGTTAGCCTTGCCACAGCATACCAAATGGCCGAAAATTTTTAAATTCGGACGATAACCACGCCTACCTCCCATATAACGGTAATGTGGAGAAATACGATGTCTTCGATAAATAAATAAATATTAAAGCTTATTTACTCAAAATTGATACTTGCAACAATTCATTACCAAGAAATACGTTTATAATAAAATTTTGGAAAATCGGCGTGGCACCGCCCACTTATGATTACATATATGTATCTCGGTAACCGTTCGACCAATTTGTACCAAACTCGGTGTGGTTATTGTGCTTGCCACATAGAAGAAAAACGTTGAAAATTATTGGAATCAGATTAAAATTACGACCACTTTTCATATAACGGCAAATTTCAGAAATGTTTGAAACTTCAATATTTCGCAATTTAAGGACGCTAATTTACTCAAAATTGATACACACCGGCTTACCATGTAGCGGTAGCTTTCGGAAAGGTGAAAATCATATACTTAGTACCTGCGCCGGGTATTAATGTTCGACTCCGCACGAACTTAGACTTTCTTACTTGTTTAATATAATTTTGAAATTAATAACTCCCTTAATTGAAGTTGAATTTGATTTTTTTAAAGGGTGGCAGCCCTCATCCATGAGTAAATAATGATTTTATATATCTCCATACAAAGTTCAAGTAATATATCCCAAATATCTCCTGAGTAATGCATGTATGAAAAATTCCGTTTGTATGGGAGGTGCCACGCCCCCTTGTCTAATCGAGATTAAATCTAACCTATATTTTAAGTTGGTCTAAATGACAGCAGTGTACAAAATTTCATGATGATCGGTTGAGTAGTTAAAGCGTAGCAAACAAACAAACTCACTTTCGGATTTATAATATTAGTAAGGAAGTAAGGATGTATTTCAAGTGCTCTTTATTGAAATATACTAAATCTACTGTACAAAGTTTAAATTAACTAAGTTAATACAAATCAATTTATGTGAAACTTCAATGTTGTCGACCGCGCGCCGCTTTATAGCATACTGACTTTCAGTGTTTCTTTGTCTTGACTTCGCTTTCGATGCTGAGGTGAGCGCTGGAGAGCGCGCGCCATGAGCGCCGGAGTATAAATAAATATGTAGCTCCCGCTACATGTCTCCCCTTCTTGGAGAAATTGTGTTCGTCTAAAATGAAAATATTAACAAAACAATATTTAAAAGTAGGCGAAAGATTAATTAGCGAAGCGAATGCGTTTCGTAGTTGTAGGAACTGTGCTCGCCGATGGTTGTGGAATGCTGTGTGTTTGTTGATGTACCATATCTTCGGCGATGAAATACACTGGCTTGAGGCGATCGACGGAGATTGCTGTGTTTCTGTCTCGAACGTTAACAATGAAACATTTTTAATTTTTCT